AGCTGCCTTCAAATGAGTTTGAGTGTTGAGGATGTTTGTCGTCGTCGTCGTTGGAAAAATGATCATATTGAGAGTCTTGATTCTCACCGTTTTAATCTTCGTGTTCCGACTCTTCATCCCACTTTCTGCTACGCACCGGGGAAAGGTAGCGAGGTGAAAAGGGTCTATTCCAGTTTGGATCTTCTCTTCCGAAGTAATATTTTGGCATTTGATCCAGATTTGATCCATGGTAATTTTGCGTACCCCTATGCCGTTCTGTACAACTGGAGCGCTTATGTTGTCGGGGAAATCGCCAGATCTTTCATAAACGTGGCTAAGAACAGTAGTGCCAACTGGACATTTTTTGCAGTCGCAGCAATGGTTTAAATAGGTTCCGGTTAAGATTAACATGCTTTTAAATTAAGGAAAAGGGTGCCAACTACACCGTCGAAAGCGTCCTTCGCAGCTTTAAGAGACTCTTAGATGTACTCGTTGATGAGTTCGGTGGAGATGTCGCTAACGTACTCTCCGACTACGATTTCTAACTTTGCGGTAAGAGGAAAGATGTTGGATCTCTCCTGCTTTCTTTGTCGGCGGGATATCTTCCGAGCCTAACATCCGTTCTTCCATCGTCATTATGCGAAAACGCAGGATGTTGAAATTCATTGTTCGCATTGAGATGGCGGCGGATTTCGGCGACAATAAATTGGCCTGTCATTCTGGAATTTGTAATAAACTATTTGAAAATTTCGGAGCGAGGGAAAGAGAGGAAATGTGAGGAGGGATGTTTAGGATTGGAGATTAAAGTTTCACAAAATTCGCCGCGTCGTTTTGCTATTAATGACATTTATTCATTTTACGGCACGCTAATGAAGCGATCACTTGTGTTGTCATATTGTATATGCGAGGGTGACGCTAGTATCTGGTCAGGCTTTAGGTCATGAAAGTAATAAATAGGGAGAACACAAGCGTATCTAGTGACATGCGCGATACGTATGAAAATGGAATAGAGATATGGGATGCTAATGTTAAATTTAGGATAAATTTAAAATGAGTAGTTCTTTTGCCAAGTTTGAAGATGAGATTAGTA